GTCAACCATATCAACCTTTTCATTAGTATCAAAAAAAGAAGAGACTCAAATTTAAGCAATAAGGAATGAAAAGGTGAAAATCACCACTTGTCGTGTGGAAATTCAGAACATCAGGGATAGCTATTTAAAAAATTACTGCTGTCATAGGATGGAAAACACAAAATAATGAAAAGATTCCTAGATATATATGAATTAACAAAGTTGAGCCAAGAACTATAAAACTTCTGAATAATCCATTATCAATGTATGAAGTTGAAAATGTAATTAAAAACTTGAAATTGAAAATGTAATTAAAACCAACAAGGAAAAGCCCACGTTCTGATAGATTCACTGCTGAATTCTACAAGAAACTTAGAGTAGATTTAATGCCAGTATATCATTTGGAAGGCAAGCAATACTCCCTAACTCATTCCTGTAGGCTAGTATTACTTTGATATCAAAACCAGACAAAGACCCAACAAAAAAGGATAATCAAAGGACAATCTTCCTAGTGAACATACATTCAAAAATTCTCAATAAAATGCTAGCAAACAGAATGCAGCGAATCTTGAAGATTATACACCACAACCAAGTGGGATTCATCCCAGAAACGCAGGAAGAGTTTGACATATGCAAATCAAAAATATAATATATCATATGAACAGAGCCAAAGGGGGGGGAATCACATAATTTTGAAGCAGAAAAAGCTTTTGATAAACTCCAGCCTAATTTATGATTAGAAAAAAAATACAGAAAACTAGAATAAGTAGTCTTTATCTCGATCTGATAAAAGTCATCTATGACAAAGCAACAGCCAACATCATACTAAATGGATAAAAACTGAAAACTTTCATTCTAAAATCAGGATCAAGACAATGATATCTACTATCACCACTCCTATTCAACGTAGCCAGAGCATAAGGCTAGAGAGAAAAATTAAAGGAATAAGGTTAAGAAAGAGAGAAGTTAAATTATCATTATTCACAGGTGACATGATACTCTATATAGAAGACCCCCAAAACTCCACTAAAAGAACGTGAAGTTTAATAACAAAATTGAGCAGCACAGCTGGATAAAAGCCAACACACAGAAACTGACAGCGTTTCTGAAAAAAAAAAAAAAAAAAAACAAGTTCACGGAGAGAAAAATTAGCAAAACACTCTTCACAATACCACCCAACACAAACAAACAAAAAAGGAAATACTTAGGAATCAATCTAACAAAGGAAGTGAAAGGTCTATATTATGAAAACGATATTGCCAGGAATTTAGCTCAGCGGCATAAACCTCTGCCTAGCAAGCACTAGGTTGTGGGTTCAACCCTGATACAAACAAAAAAGAAAATTATAGTACTCTGAAAAAGGAGATGGGAGACAATATCACAAAATAGAAAGATATTCCTTGCTCATAGATAGGAAGAATCAACATAGTGAAAATGGTCATGCTCCCAAAATTATTATACAGATTTAATGCAATCCAAATCAAAACATCATTAGCATATCTCACAGATCTACAGAAATCATTTTAAAAACTCATTTGGAACCAGAAGAGAGCTGGAGTAGCAAAGGCAAACACTGACAACAGAAGCAAGGCAAGAGACATCATGGTCCCTGACCTGAAGTTACACTACAAAGCTGCTGTGATAAAAGCAGCATGGAACAGATTAGAAGACACAGCCACAACTACAAACACACTCAACCACATGATCTTTGACGAAGGAGCCAAACATGTTCACTGGAAGAAAGACAGCCTCTTCAATAAGTGGCTCTAGAAAAACTGGCCTTTCATACACCAAAACTTAAAACTACACCCATGTCTATTATCATGCACTAAAGTCAAAGTGGATCAAAGATCTGAATATTAAAACAGAAACACTAAATCTACAGAAAGACAAAGCAGGTAGAAATCCTAAAGACACAGGGGTAGGCAGAGAGTTCATGAACACAAATCAAACTGCACGGGAAATACTTCCCAAAATCAACAACTGGAATCATGTCTTATTAAAAAGCTTTTACATGCCAAAAGAAATCACCAACACAGTGTAAAGAAAATCCACAAATTACAAAAAAATCTTAGCCAACTTTCCCTCAGACAAAGGACTTCTATCTAGCACATATAAAGAATTAAAATTATCAGGGCCCCAAAAATCAAAGACTCAATCCATAAATGGATATCTGAGATAAATACATGCCTCTCAGATGAAGAAATACAAACATCAAAGAAACATATGAAAAAAATATTCAGTGTCATTGATCATTCAAGAAATCCAGTTTAAATAAGAATAAATTTCTACCTCCCTCCAGAAAGAATGGCTATCAGCAGGAAATCAACCAGTAACAAATGCTGGAGGGGATATGTAGAAAAAGGAACATTTCTCCATTGTAGGTAGAAATACAAACTGGTACAACCGCTGTGGAAGTCAGTGTGGAGAGTTCTCAAAAACTAAGATTACAGGTCCCATTCGACCCACTTATACCCCTTCTGGATCTTTTCCCAGAAGAATTTAAAAAATATACCATATTGATATACGCACCATTTGTAATAGGTAAGTCTTGGGAATAACCTAAATACCCATTAACAGAGGAATGTACAAAATGGCTGTATTTTTATACAGTAGAGTACTACTCAGCTATAAATAAGGATAAACTTGAGACTTCTTTATAAATGGATGCAAGTTGAGAGCAAACTCGTATGTGAAACAAATCAAGCTCACATGTGTAAACATTTTATCATTTCCCTGGTATGAGAAACTAATGAATAAATAAGGTCTAAAATGTCAACAGATAATGTGAAATAGGAAGAATTTTTTCAAAAGAAAAAAAGAATGACGATGTGTAAAAGGGCAAAGAACAATATGGAAAAGGGAAAAATGCAATAAGTTACATTATTAGTGTCTCTTAGTTGATTAAATATGAAGGTTTGTGCTAATATCAATTGGAGAAATTTTATGCTCATCTTATTTTCACAACTATTCTAAAGTTAACAATGTGTAAGGGATTAACCATTGCCATTTTTGTACTGTTTTTGATGAAATTTTGTTTTACTTTTTTTCCATCAAATATAAAATAAATAAATACATTGTTGAAAGGAAAAGTTGCTAGTTCACCACTCTACGACAATTGGACAGCCAGAGTAGGTTGTTGTATAATTCCCCAAATAACAGAGGAAGGCCATTTGGATCCAGTGTTTTCTCAACACTGACCTATAAACCAAAAAGCCCAGTCAGGCTCATTTCTCCTGGATAAAATGTGAATGCCTCTCTAAATACTATGTGAGCCTGAAAGCACCCCCCATGATGATCATTCGGGAATTCTACCAATCATAAATGATAAAAAAGCACTTTCCTTCCCAAACTGGTCAGTAATCTTGTTTTCTTCCAAGACAGATCAATGTGGTTAGAGAAAACCACAAAAAGAACTACCAGCAGCAAGCAACTGAATACAGAAATTTTTTTGTCTCTGCTGACACAAGTTTCTTCTTCCCCACCCAGAGACACCTGGAAAGGGTAGCAAAATCAGTAAGAGAGAGCTAGACAAAGCAGTTGGAATAGCAAAATAAATTTCATTGCCCCATGATTCAAGTTTTATTTTATTTCTCTCTGCCTAGAGAATCTACTTATCCAGGTAGAGCTTATATAGTTATCTCATCATAATTCCCTTCCAAAAGACATCAGTAACCGGGCCTAGAAAAAAAAAAAAAACTGCACTCCTGGCAGCAATATTAGAGAACAGGGAGAACACTAGTGATAACATACAAATCAAATTAATCAAAATAACACCACAAAGATACTGAAAATTAAACTGTCATTGAATGTACAATGTAGAAAAGAAAAAATATTGAATATAAGAACTAAACAACTCAGATTTGTAATAAGAGAAAGGAATCAAATAATAGCAGTTCCCTGAGATTAAACTGAGAATGGAATTATCTGACAATGAATTTAAATCACTGATAAAACATACCTCAATAAGTAATTTCAAAATTTCTTGAAATCAGTAAATAAATAGGAAATATCAACAAAAAATATAAGTTGTTAAATAACTGACTCCTCTCTCTCTCTCTCTCTCTCTCTCTCTCTCTCTCTCTCACACACACACACACACACACACACATACTTGCAACTTTAAAAACTTGGTGATGGACAATATACTATGATAAAGATGACAGAAGACAAAAGCAGAGAAATTACAGAAAAATCAGTAAAATTTACCCACTCTAAATAGAGAAAATAAAAACAAATCCTGTGGGACATGTGTAACAATAAAAAAGTATTTATATAGATAGGATAGTGTACTAAATCAGAAATTCACAGTAACATGAAGAACCAAAGTATTTATGTAAATTTAATTTACGTGAACCTTTAAAAATTGGACAATTGTAAAAAAGCATATGTCAAACATTATATAATAAACAGAAAATATTCCAGTATTAACTCTGTAACTAGTGGATAAAATCAAACAAAAAAATAAGTTCTACAGAGAAAGGATTATAAATGTACATCTTCTATAAAGCACTTTTAAGTTTTCTATTAACTTTAATAGCTTTGCAACTAACAGAAATATAGTTTTTCAGTAAAAATGGAAAAATGAATCATTCACCCTGTCAAGTGAATAATTTGTATCAAAATTACTGCCAATTAGTAACTTAATTCATCTGTTTAATACTCATAATAACTGTCCATATTTTTAGGCAATCTCAAAATAGCTGTTTTGATTTAAGTCAGATATGTCTTAATTAAAATTTCTTCAAGTGACTATGACAACACTATACTTTAAAATTCAATTAAATATGACTAAGAGCTTATAAAAATCCAATTAATAATACATTCAAATGTTCAATGCTTAAAATTTTTAAATAAAAAGAGAACAAGGCTTGCATTTGTTACAAACACTACAGTAGTTTTTAAACCATTTAAATTCAGTTACAAGGAAACTACAGATAAAAGAGAAAATATAGATTACTTTGATCCTTATGTTATTAGAAATATTACAAATGTCAGTATGAATCATGAAGGTTACATACCCCATTAGAGGTACTACTATTGTTTTAGTTCCCACTAAAATAAGTAGTTGGTCAAAAGTATCTTCATCTTTATCAGGATGATATTCCACCATAGCTGTTGTCTTCAGACCAGAAGCGAGTTCTTTATCCAGATTGGTCAACATCAACTTGAACTTCAATAGGAAAGAAAGAATCAAATTATGCATTTGTGTGTGTGCATGGGGGGTACACTGGAAAATGAACCCAAGACAGGTTAGGCTGTCACTGAGCTATATGCCTAGGCTGCAAATTATACATTTTAATTCCTTAAAGGAAAATAAGGACTATGCATTATTATCAAAATATGCTTCTTGATCTTTCCCTAAAAGCAAAAAAAAATCTTAATTTTTAATTGACAAAAATAATTATATATATTTATGGGCAGGTACAATGCAATGTTCTAATACATGTACACATCATGGAATAATCAAATAAAGCTTATGCACATCAGCTCACATACTTACATATTTTGTAGTAAGTGTATTTATAAATCTTTGACAGTTTTAAAGTATACATTGCATTATGACAAACTATAATTATCTTGTTGTACATTAGATAACAAAATTGATTGCTTAATATATACATGGGTATTTGTGTACCTATATACATACATACCTATTTACTGTATACACAGAAAGCATGTAGTAGTTTATATATGTTCTGCATGGGAATGTGGGCTTCATAATTTATATGGATGATAAGAAATAGATCAAAGAAAAAAAGCAATTTTGTTCTAGCAAATATTTTCTAACTCCAAGAAAACATAAATGAAGAAAGAAGAAAACTGATCTCTGCTGAGGATTCATGCTGTATTAAACATTCTTCATCTATTATCTCATTTAACATACTTCTAGTGTTTTCTGAAGTTGATATTAAGACTTTCAGAATACAGATGAAGAAATTGAGACTTATAGAAAATAATTAACATATAAAGCTACTCAGGAGAGCATATAAAAATTCGTTTATTTGACTGTAAATCTGATCTCTTTCTTGTCCACCTCGAATTAGCAACAAGAGATCATAATGAAGTTAATTATTCAAGGATCCTAATGCCAACTTCTTTGCATGCTACTTTTAGCAGGTTAAGAGTTGATCATTTAGGAAAAAAACTTTTATTTACCAAAACTCATTGGGACACAAGTCCAGAATACAAGGAATGTCAATAAACACAACAGGTTTCCAATCGTGTAGAAATAATTACATGCAATATTATAAGATTTCTTAGGAAAGAAAGACCTCAGGTCAGTCTTAACAGGCAAATGGGATTTGGGAAGGTAGTGATTCTTACAGATGGGAGCGATAAAAATGTGAGTCAAAAGTAAAGTCTGAGCTTAGTGAAGGCAATATAAATCATATAAGACTCGCTTCACCAAACAGAAAGCAACACAAATCTGCAAAACACTATTAGAGAGATAATGCCAGTAAGTTTGAAAGATGATGTTTAAAATTAACCACAGGATTATCAATTGTATACTCCTTGAAAATAAGAACTACATATTTTTATTTTTCTACCTGCAATCCACAATAAATGAGGTCACTGTATATGGTATATAATGTGTACACAATACACAGGGTCAAAGCTAAGGTAGCAAATAAGCAGTCATGTGCCACATAATGAGGTTTTCGTGAATGATAGTCTGCATTATATGATGATGATCCCACCTGATTACATTGCTTAACAATGTAGCCATATTACTTTATATAAGAATACTCTATATGAATGTATTTTTATTCTTAAGCCATGCATGACTATTCTAATACATCTTAAAGGAATCATTTTCTAAGTAATTTTAATAGTGATGGTGGTAATGCCCTTTATATAGCACCTTGTTTGTGCATTTTCTTATTTCTGCCAGGACAGTTAATGTGTTTCACCTTAATTCATTTCTACTCTAATTCCTTTTATGCCTCTGAAGGATCACCAGTATATATTATATTGCAACAACAACAAAATAATACTGGCATTGGCCTCTAATTAGTAAGCATACCTAGCTATTCTCTTGTCAATGTAGACTCATGGTCAGAATTATTTTCCATTATCACTTTAGGTGCAAACCAAAACAAAACTAATTGTATCATTTTTCTTCCTACCACACAATAACCATCCATACAAGTGTCCCCTAAGTATCCATAAAATTGCATTTTCCGACTTTCAAGTATCACTGTCAGCTACAGTTTCAAAAGGAAGTATTTTCAGGTAAACATTTAATTGTTCAATAATTATATGCCATGTCAGTGAAATAATAAAATTTTCTTTTAATTTTGCAGTATCTTGAGTAATCAAGAATTTTTAGATGTAACAGTCGCTCAAAATATTCGATTTTATAAAAACACTGAAATACAAAAATCATGAACAGGCAAGAGTAACTTTTATGTTAGAATAGTGGTGATTTCCATAAGGTGATTACTCCAGCAATTGTAGAGAATGCAAACTAATGACCTCCTGGTCTTTTGAATATATCCTATGATTTCATACAGGTAATCATTCGGTGGTTATATGCATATACATAAATTTATCAAGATTTACTTCTAAAAGCTTTGTTCCATGTGGGTAATAGTAAATTATGTCTTTAAGAGTAGAAAAGAGAAGGTGAAAATCCTTTTCTTCATAGCCCTCTTAATCTTTAACATAGATTTTTATATGTATGTACTAATTTAAATAAGTTAATGCAAAATTATTAACCATACATATATAAGTACATTTTATTCAATGTGATATGTCAGTTGGATTTTCTCAAGATTTTCAGGTATCATTTACATATAAAAACATCACATTTCTATATCAAGTCTTGTGAACTATAGTCATTCATTCACGGACACGATCTAAAATCAGAAACAGAGATGCAATTCCATCCACTTTGAGGTCAGCAAGTAAGGACATATTTTTAGAACATTAATTTTTATGATGGTTAGAATTTGTACAAAAATGCCTCCACTAGTTTCTAAGTCCCATGAGAGCAGGGCATTCTCCAACCAGTATCCCTTACACCTGTTGACTGTTGTATATAGTATGTGCTCAATAAATATTTGTTAAATTATGAAATAATAAAACTTCCCACTAATTTTAAGATTCTTGCATATGTCATGCACTTTAGAATTCAAAAGGAAGTGTCATAGTACTTAAGTCAACTACAGAATTAATTATGAAGTCAAGGCGATTGTTACAAGTGAACAGTTTGGGAAAACCTTCCCTTCTTTCCAAATCAGGCTGAACACAAAAAAGTTAATATTGCACCACCTTATCCTCCTCATATCCCAATTTCAAGAAAAAGGGAAAATAAAACAAAACTCACTCAAGCTCTTAAATTATCAAAGCCCAGAAGTCCAACCCTTTCCCTCCTCCCCCACCTCCTAGGGAGCCTGAAATTTACTTCCTGAGGCTAGTGGAGAGGGGAGAAGCAGGAGAGGAAGCATTTTGGGAACTCTACTCTCCTAATGTCCTGCTTCTAGCACCCCTTGGTGTGTCACCTGTTTCTTGGTTGGCTCCATAAACCGAATTTTCTTGTTCCAACGACCAAGATTGTGTACAGTGATCGGGAGACGGTACACTTTCCCCACCATCGCGTCACAGAACTTCATCTCTAACGGGGTCACCCGTAGCTGAACTTCTGCCTTTAGGCTGCCCGACTCCCGTGGGACGGAGGAACTCCCCGGGGTGCCCATGGCTGTCTTTTTGATAGCCGGAAAAATGTTCCAGTTTTAACCTGACCGGGACCAGCCCAGACAAGTTTGCCCAGTTGACTATTGCTAGGCAACAGGGGGGGAGGGGACGCAGAGCTTTGGTTAATTGTGCGCAGGCGCGTGACTCAACCAAAGCATCGCGAGCCTGAATTGAAGCGGAAGCTGCCAGTGTCTAGTGATACAACCTTGGGCTTGCAGGCATCACCGGAGTAATAGGAAAACACATTATAGCAGGCTCAAACACAGAGGCAGCTGTCTTTGCATCAGTCTGACTTGGCTTTCAGGTAGTATTTGATGTGGTGGGCAGTTTCTACCCTTCAGAGTAAGCTTACAGATCAGTGAAAGTTGTGTGCCCAGAGGGCCCATTAAAGGCAGCAAGATTTAAAAGAAGCACAACCTTTGAGGGGAAACAAGATACAGTGGCGGTCCTAGTTGATGATCCACAAAAATTTCTCAATAGTGTCATTCACAAAATGAAAATACTAAATTAGTATGAAAACCTAGGACTAGGGTGGGTAAAATAACTTAATGTCTATCTATAATGGATAATAATGTAGTTCTATGTGTATTAACGTAGAAGGATATCTATTACAGAATATTAACTTTTAAAAAGTGGCCAACAGGTAAGCCATATTGTGATGTCTATTTCTTTTCAAATATACATAAATACAATACAAAAGTAATACTATTTTGTTGTTGTTAAAAATTCAGATTCTGTTTCAGTATATCTAGTGTGAAACTTAAGAATCTGTAGTTGCAATAAATTCGTTGGTGATTTTAATATTCATGGCCAGGGACCATACATTGAGTACAGAGGCTTTAGAAATTTGGAGGGAAGGGAGTAGGTGTCATCTGTAGTGCCTCAATATATAAGTGTGGGCAAGAGTCTCATCAGGTGGGAAATAAGGTTGCTGGGCTGAGGGACCTTCTTGCAGAGATGGCAGTTGTATGAATGGTAAGTGAACTTGTTATAGGTGAGAAGGTGTCATTAAGGCAGGAAGTGTCTGTAAAATAGGGCTGTCAGAGCAATGGGGTGAGTGGACTGTACTTGACTTTTAAAGTGAACTCCTTGGCCTGATAGTGTAGCTGCTGAGGCAAATGCTGGAAGGCAGGGAGGACAGCTTTGTATCATCTTGTTTTTGAGAGGTAGGCTGCTGCTTGGAAAGAAGGGTTTTTATGCGTGTGTGTGTGTGTGTGTGTGTGTGTGTTAAAACTCCTATAGCATTATGATCTTGAGACATAGAAATCTTGGGTGGGTTAGGGAGAGTGAGGGCTAGGGCCTTTGAGAGAGCCTCTTTTAGTTTTGAAAACACGGAGTAGCAGAGTTGAGAGGCTCTATTAGGGAACCTTTAGATGTCTTTAAAAAAATGTTGAGCTAGAGTAGCAAAGTTAGGAATCCAAAAGTAAAGAAGTTTATTAAACCTACAAAAGACAAAACTTGTTGCTTTGTAGTTGGCACCTAGAGATCATGGAGATGGGTTTTTGTTATAAGAGCAGGTGGTGGGGGTGAGGTTGAGTCAGGTATTTAACCTTTGTTGAAACTGTTCAGGCTTTAGTAGGGGACACTCTGAGCTTGTGACTTGAGAGAAAGTTGAGAAAGGTCACCATATGTGTAGTTAAAGCATAGAATGGGGAACAGAGGAGAAATTATCTATATCTTGAAGACCAGCTTTAGGTTTAAGATTGAGAGCTGCAAGGCCAGCAGCAAGGGCTTGGTTGAAGAAGTGTGGGTTATCCCTGAGGGCTTGAGGTAGGACTGTCTAGGTAAGCTGTGCAGATTGAAGAGTGTCTGGATTTGTCCACATAAAGACAAAGAAATTTTGGCAATCAGGATGTAAGAGAATAGTGAAAAATGTATCCTTAAGTCTAAAACAGGAAAGTTAGAGGTACTTGGAGGAACATGCAACAGTGTAGTGTAAGGATTTGGCACCATTGAGTGAATTGGTATTAACACAGGGTTAATAGCTCTGGGATCTGGACTAGGTAATAGGAGCTATTGGATTTCAGGGCAGGGAGATTAGGGATGTCATAAGTGAGTGAGTGACTTTTAGAGACTCATTAGTTAACAAGTGGCAGATAATAGATTTGAGTCCCTGTTGATGTTTAGGGGCTACTGGGTATTGGGGAACAGAAGGAAAGACTGAGGGGTGTTTCAGGTGAATTAGCAGTGGAATAACATGAGTGGCATGAGTAAGACTGGAGGTGTATCAGCCTCTAGGGTCAGAAGGCAAGAGGGAAGGAGAGGGGCTGGCAGTGGTACATGATGGTTGGGCTTGGGGTATGAGAGCCAGAGAGAGAGAGAGAGAGTATAAGAGAAATTGAGTTTCTGGAGTGAGATTTTTATCAAAAAGATGTACAGGACAGGTTGGGATAATAAGACAGCTGTGTACAGAAAAGCATTTGAAATCTGTAGGTAGTAGGTAATGTATTTTGGCTGTTAACTCCCACAACAGAGACTGCAGACCAGAAACACTGGCCCGAAAACTCAGGAAGAAAACTATGGGTGGCCTCCATGTCAACAAGGAAAGAGAGGGTTTTACCTGAGTTGTCCAGAGAGCCTTGGGGCTCTAAAAGAGATACCTTGGTGAGAGCCATGGGCCCCAAGCCCCATCAATCCTCTTCAGCAGAGACGCAGAGCAGATCAGCCAATGATAAGTCCCAGCTAGCAGTGTTTTATCCTGTGAGGGCAGGGAATGTGATGACTTACCTGCTCTCTGGCAGACAGGGCAGTCACACTTCTAGTGGCCCTCTTGGTTGCAGATGGGATGAGTTTCCAGTTGTGGTCAGATAACAGGGTAGGCTCATGTGCAGTGTCTTTTTTCTGCAATATTTAAAGCATGGTGGGGAGGGCTCAGGTTTTAGATTTTTTTTTCTCCTCCAGCCTGTGTTTTATCTCAAGCCACTAGTGCCACTGCTGCAACTGCAGTTGCTGTGGCCAGAAATTGGCCTTGGAGTTTTTCCCTGCAACCTTTTAAAGTTTCCCCTGGAATGTAACTTTCTAAAGTCATTCTGTTTTTGTTGTTTTTATCTATTGTTGAAGACAGGGAAAGCCATATCTAGGCCATCTCCCTGGGGTGACTGAGGACCAAGGTTTGATCTTTTGAATTTAGTCTCAATGTTTGGTGCTACTTGGGAAATAAAATGGGAGTAAAATCTTTTGTTGAGAAAACAGAGTGGAAATGAGGATAACATAAAGATCTTTGTAGATAGAATTGAATAATGAAGTTAAGCTTTCAGTACCTTTCACCTCACAATGGGGAAGAAAAAGTTGGGGTGAGCATCATGCCAAAAGTGGTTGGGGTAGGAATAATGAAGGCAAAGAGTGGAAAGGGTCACCAGATGGTGGCAAGTATGAGAATCCTCAAGATGGTGGCGAGAGGGAGGAGTGAGATCTGGTGGTGGAGACCGTGAGGACAGTGGAGAGGAGGAACAGCAAGAACAGGGGGATAAGTTGACGGGAAGAAAAGATAGCAAAGGAGGAATAGGCTGGGAGGTAGGAGGGGAAAGTGACAATGGCAGCAGAGGAGAACAAGGGGAGCTTTGTGGACATGGTGGAGGCACAGGAGCAGAAGGATATTGTGTGTAAGGTCAGCAGGATTGTCAGGTGATGGTTTTTGGCTGTGTGGAACAGACCAGAAGCATCTGGGCTGCCCCACATGCCTGAATAAGGGAGCAAAGAAGGCCTAAAGATAAGGAACCTGACTGTTTGCCATTAAGTTAGTAACATTGTGTAAATCATTGAGGGTGGCATCTATTAGCAAGTGTATAATGAGGCCAAGCCATCCGGCAGGAAAAAACTTATCTATAGTCTATGAGGTGCCTCTGAGACAATGAGCGAGCAAACATTTACTTAGAGAGAACCTTTACTTAGAGATCGGATTTACAGAAAGAATAGTTCTCTCCACAGGCACCCAGGCAAGAAGTAACTTTGCCCACTGTGACTGAACTGGTAGTAAGCCAAAGGGCTCACCTGAGTCACACTCCTGTAAGGAGTTGTCACCCTTGTAGGAAGTGAGCATGAGAGAGATCCCCAACACCTATGCCCAGCAGTCATCACTGGTAGAACAAGGGGAAAGGATGAAGGCTGAGCGTTATCCCAGAGGATGTGGGGGGTATTCTGATGCAGGCCTGCAGTTTAGGAGACAGGCACCCTAGCAAGAGTTGGCTTACCTGTGAGAACCTGAAGAAATGAGTCAGGGTTGGTGTTACATGGATGATGGCTAATAGCAGGAGAAGCAGGAATCCTGTGAAGAGACAAGAGAAGGAATGAGACAGAGACAGAGAGAGAGACAGACAGAGACAGAGACAGAGAGGAGCGAGAGAGGAGAGAAAGATTGCCTCATAGTTTGAGGAGGGCTCAAACTGGGGGATAGGACCCCCAGGAGCAATGCAGCCCAGACAGCTCCAAATCTAAAATAGCACCACTGATTATTTTTGGGCACTCAATCTGAAGTGGTGCAGAGAAAATGAGAGAGATAAGGAGACAAAAGAGACCTTTAATACAGGCATGGGAAAGCTTCTCAGGAAAAGAGGTATAGAGGCTCTCAACAAGAACAAAGAAGTGGGAATACTTTTATCAGTTTTGGCTGGGGGAGGAGTGTGAGAGGTGGGCAAAATGACTTATTAACTGCTGATTTGACGGAGCACCTGCCTGCTTAAGACTGGAGAAACAAGGATTTACTGGGGGTGGAGGCTTGCATTGTTGTGGAGTCCTGGGATTGGAGAGGGTTTGATGCACAAGCAAAAAGGGAGTGGGACATTCATCTCTAGAATGAGAACATACCACTTACTCTTGGAAAGGTAAGTTGTTTCTCTGGGTCTGGTACCAAGTTGGGAGGATGTAGTTAAACTCCAGGCTAGCAGAACCTATCAGTGATACATTGATACATAAAATACTAAGCAGAAATGAGGTAGAAGGGAATTGGGTATGGTTTAGGAAAAGGAAAGACAAAGGATTCTCATTTTGAAGAGGTTATCTGTGGCTGTGGATACATTACCTACGAAAGTAATAAAATGGCATAGAACTCAAATGCACAAACAAAAAAACACATAAATGAATACTAGTAAACTGAAAACCTAAATAATATCTGTGTTTTATTTCATTGTCTGCAATATTATATTGCAGAATTTGTAGTACAATCATCTTTGCTATTCTAAATGTGTTTATATAATTGTAGATATTTTTCTTTTCACTTCCTTTTTCTTTTTCCTCCTTTTCCCTGAGATATTATTGCTGCAGATTCTGTAAGTTCTTGCAACAAAACAGTTAACATTCATAGTATTG